ATTTGTGAACATATCTTTACACAATCGTTACTCACAGAGTTCGGGCTACAGTATGCTAGAGCGAGTCTCCCCAGTCGCCAACCCTACACAGTTAACAGATTGAACACACACTAAGCTACATAGTTGGGAAATATGATAACTTAATCCCTAATTTGCCTTGGTGTGTTCTACATCTATATCCTCAACAAGATGCCTTAAACTAGGTCTAAGAATGCCTAGAATGGGATGAGGATGCAAAGATGTACTCGAAAAGCAATTTCAGCAAAACAGAGTCCCGTTCGAGCACAGGTTTCCCCGCTCGAGCGTACATGCAACAAAGGTACACGCTCGAGCGTCAGCTTTACCGCTCGAGCGTACTGTAAAAGTACTGGATGGGTGAAATCTCCGCTCGACGCCCGCTCGAGCTTGAGACATGACTCCGCTCGAGCGCCCAATCCTCCGCTCGAGTGGACTGTAAAACAGTGCAGAGAGATGCTGGATGCTCGGATTTTACGCTCAAGCGGCACTTCCCCCGTTCGAGCGGAAGTACAGAATCTGGGAATTCCAAATTGCACCTCCAAGCTCAAACTCACATTCAAATGCATCAAAACCAATCCTCTTGGGCCCATTTTCTGGAAAACATTTAAAAACACATAGAATATCCTAGTTCAAAGCTCAATTTTGAGAAATCAAGGCCCAAGGGTGTTTAATTCAAACCCAATTTCAAACCATTTTCATGAACATGAAGAACATGCAAACATGCATGAATTCAAATCACTTTGAAGTCCCAATTTGATGCTCTAAGGAGCCAATTGTTTCCAAAACATGATGAAATCATGGACTACACTTCAAGACATGAACATGCATGTAACAATTTGCCATGAAAACAACTCAAAACTCATCAATTCAAACATGCATGCATGAACTATGCTCTATATCAACATGTATGAACTAAAACATGGCTTAGCTCTACAATTTATCATGGACCATGCAAGACTTAGCTCAAACACAAGAATGAGAAGATGAAATCCTTACCTAGGTTCCTTGAATGCAAGTCTAGAGGTTCAATTTAGCAATCTACACTTCAATTCCTTCAAGCCCCAAGCCAAGACAACAAGTTGAATTCAACTCACTCACTCTCACTCTCTCTACGGTCGGTTAAACAAGAGATATGGCTGAGGAGAATGTTTTGATTCAAGTATGCAAGGCTCACATGTTATTGAGATAGTGGCCACTAGGTGGTCTAATTGTAATTAAGTCCACAACTTGCAATCCACTTATTTTAATCTAATTTAATTATACCTAATCAGTTTTCAGATAAATACACCGTAAAATCACATTAATTATGAGGATTATGAAACATTAATCAATTTCCCAGTTCAGCCGCCGATAAGGCCTTCAATTAGCAGTTTACACATGAAACACGGACATATCAAATAACCAATCAAACAGATGGAATACAAATTAACATACACACTAGTCAATTCAGTTCCAGTTTTTCAGTCAGTCAGTTCAGTACGTTAATCAGTTCAGTTATCAGTCGTAATCAATCAGTCATAAATCAGTAAACAGTATGAGGGTTGTTACAAACTGGTTAAAACCTTCTCCCTTTCTGTATGAGATATGGTTAGGTACGTCTGTTGGTTACACCACCTTTGCTCTTTTCACAGGAAACGTGTTAGGATTTGATGTTTACCTGGTTAAAACCTTCTCCCTTTCTGAATGAGATACAGTTAGGTACGTCTGTTAGTTACACCATCTTTGCTTTTTTTATGTGAAACCTGTTAGGATTTAATGTTTACCTGGTTAAAACCTCCCCCCTCTCTGTATGAAATACAGTAAGGTACGCCTGTTGGTTACACCGCCATTCCTCCTAATGCGTGAAACGCGTTGGGATTGCAAGTTTACTCGATTAACAACATCAAGTGCACCTGATGTTCACACCATCTTCACTCCTTTCACATGAGACGCGTTAGGTTGTTGTTTTACTCGGTTAAAAACATCAAGTGCGCCTGGTGTTTACACCATCTTTCCTCCTTTTGCGTGAGACGCGTTAGGATGTTATTTCACTCGGTTAAAATTGTGTTGTGGCACATTTCTACATGATCTTGTGGCACATTTATATGCAATGCACCCCTTGTTATGTTTCATATCATTTCTACGAGGCTTGCCTCTCATGTTGACATCTTCATATATCGTTATCATCACTCCATGGCATTGCGTTCTATTGCATGATTATGAGATTTCAAACAATTGGCTTCGCGAAGCGTGTAAGTCCAATTTTCAAACTGCATTTTGAGCATGTCATTTGCATTCTGCCCCTGAACTATGGTGGTTTGATTCCTTATAAAGGGATACGTAGGTAACCTTCAGGTTCAACCAATTGAATCTGCATCTTGTTTGTTTGCCCAAGTCATATGGCCTTGTCAAAAGGGTCGTCTTCGGGCTTTGACATTCACTCATGTCAAGAAAAGACTTTGAGCTCTATCAAAGAGGGGCAACTGTAGACACCCCATTTTGACCGACCCTAAGACTTGGGCGCTTTCTTTTGATTACCCGATGATGAAAACAAAAAGGTGTTTCTCATAGAATCCTTAATAAAAAAAACTTAGAATTTGAGTCCTGGTTCCAACCCTAAACAGCCACAAATTACCTTTCCAAAGGCATATTCTGACCTCACGGTTGCATCCAGAATGGTTCGTTTAGCTAGGATCAACCTTCACTGCACTTCCGAGGGCCTCACTGAAAAATTCTCCTGAAGTCTGGGTTACAGCACAATTATTTGAAACTTTTAGGCCAAATTGTAACTTTCAAAACTCAGGGAATATTTTGTTATGTGAGGGAATATTCTGTTAAGTTAGGGAATATTCCATCCATATGCAGAATATTCCGTCAATGCTGATTGGGATGCTAACGTGGCGGTCTTGCTGACATGGCATGACTGGATTAGTCCTTGCTAATGGCGTGGCGTTGACTTGTCTTTACCCAAAAAAATGAATTTAAGGAATGTTTGGAAGGGGGTTTGAACCGCTAACCTTCCACTCAATACCCAACACCTTAACCACTCTACCAAAGCTTTGCCTTGTGTTATATTTCCTCTCAAATAATATTTAATCATTTCAAACCAGCAGGCAAAGTATTTTTTGCATTTTTTTTTCTTTGTGTGTGGGACACTCCTCTACCTCATTTCCCAACCCATATATCACCAAATACATTCCTAGTCATCCTTCATTGTCAAAAAGAGGTTTTCTTTGCATCCATAAAGGAGTATCACATGTAACCACTTTGAAAATTCACCCTTTCTATCACATTCTTGTCTCCCACCTTGTCTTCCACCTTCTTTTTTGACCTCCACCCTCCCTTATTGCCTATATAGGATGATCATATTGTAAGAGAGAAAGAAGACCACGAAATTGAAGAAAAAAAAGTGAGAGAAAATAGTGAAAAAAGAGAGAAAAATTGAGTTTTTAAGCTAAAATACTCCTATCTTCCATGTACACCCCATACCTTCCATACAAACTGAAATTCCATCTTTTCTACATCCAAAACTCCAAAAATTCTGAAATACTTAAATTTCATTAGCTTTGGTCAAGAGGAAGAGTGGGTGTTGGTAAAAGTGAGCAGAAATAAGAGAAATCAATGTTGGGACAGTTTACAGAGTCTTGTCGGACCCTTAAAAAATACACTGTATGATGGTGTATATAGGCTGCCCAAATATATATATATATGGATATATATAGGGAGCCCTCAAAAGTCGCGCCCTCAAAAGGCACGCCCACTTCCTCAAAAAGGCGTGCCTGACAGAAAGCGTCGAGCCATCAAAAGGTGAGCCGGAGACGCGGCGAGGCACGTGAGCGACAGAGTGGCGTGTCGGCCTCGGCTATTTAACCAAGGTTGATGCTGAGGCTGAGGCAGACAAAAAACTTCTGAAAATCCTCTGAAAAAAACTCTTCCTTTGCTGAGAGAAAAACTCTGTAATACTCTGTAACCAACCCGTCTCTGAAACACTCAGGCAACCCAAAAAACATGGCCTCTTCTTCCCGTTCAGCTACCCAGAATATGGCCTCTTCATCCCGTGGTCTACTCACTCTCTTTCCCGACCTCAATGAGTCAACAAGAGAGAGAACTGGTGCGGTGGCCAGTGAACCTCAACCAAACACCTCTGTGTTTGCTCCGTTGAACTTTCCGATGCGGTCGGTGGAGCAAAAAATGGCGGTGCAAACTGATATTGAGGCCAATCAGTATAGTCTGAAGTCATGTGTGGAAACCATGACTGCGGTCACAAACTTGTCGCACCGGCTGTAGAGCAGGACAAATGAGGTGCAACAGTTAAACTCCCAGCTAACTCTGCTCCAACGCATGTATAAGGATGCGCGAGCAGAGATAAGTGTGCTAAAGACAGAAAACAAGGAGCTGAAGCGGAAGGCCACCGTGATGTTCCGATTCGGAGGTCCGCCATATGCTGTAGTGGAGGAGTATGGAGGAGTGAACGTGCTCGGTGGAGGAGGAAGCACGGAGGCAACACCGTCAAGGGCCGCCCAGGACGGAGGCAAGAAGAAAAGACCGGCGGAATAGGCGAAGAAGTGAGGTCGATTGGTGGCCGGCTGCAGAAAAGAAAAACAAAGTTGTTGCTGTTGTTGTTGTTTTTTTTTTTTTGTTGTTTTTGTTTGTGTAAAAGTGGGATCGGGGTGGATCCCTGACATGAATAAAATGAGTTTGGTGTGCAGTTCGTCTTCTGCCTTTTTTTTTGTTTTTTTTTTTTTTTTTTTTTGTGGAAAAAAAAAAAAAAAAAAAAAAAAAAAAAAAAAAAAAAAAAAAGAAAAAAGAATAAAAATATATTTGAAATCAAAAATGAAAGATGGGGGAAATAAGGAAAATGGTTTGGAGAAAATAAAGAAAAATAATGGAGTTGGAAATCAAACGGAGGAGAGATGATAATTTAATTTTTTTGTTTTTTTTTTTTTTAATATAATATAATAAAAAGAGATATATATATATATATATATATAATAAAGAAAGTGGGGAACAAGAGTAATGAAAAGAGGGGGACAAAAGTTGGTGTGGTGTGATGATAAATAAATAAGAAAAGAAGGGGACAAAAGTTGGGCGGTGGTAGAAGCAAAACAATAAATAAAGAAATAAAAAGAAAAGAAAAGAAGAGAAGCACGTGGCCCAACTTTTAACATAAAAGAAAGAAAAGAAATTTTTTTGACTCTCTTGCCAATTGCCGTATCTCTGTTTCTCTCCAATTCATCGACTTTCTCTTGCTGTCTTTCGAATCTCAGAGAACAATACAGGGTTGAGTTTGTTCTTTCGGATTTCAAGATGCCAGCAACAGCAGGTAGGGTTCGTATGCCCGCGAACAATCGGGTGCACAGTAGTGCTGCCCTACAGACTCACGGTATATGGCAGAGTGCCATTGGGTATGACCCTTATGCTCCCAATAAGGAAGACAACAAGAGCACCCAGCAGAAGTCTTTTACCACAGAACCGGAAGGTGAGAATGCGTATGCCAGCTTCCAGGGATTGCTCGCACTAGCCCGTATAACTGGTTCTAATGCTGATGAGGCTCGTGGAGTCTGCAAGAAGTGTGGGCGTGTTGGGCATCTCACCTTTCAGTGTCGGAATTTTCTTAGTGTTAAGGATGATAATAAGGATAAAGACCCGGATGCAATTGAGGCAGCAGTTTTGTCGGGGTTGGATAAGTTGAAGGGTAATGGGGGTAGGAATAAAACTGCAACTGAGAGCTCAGAGGAAAGTTCCGAGGAGGAGGAGAGCGAGAGTTCAGATTCTGACTATGATTCCGAAATTGAGAAGGCTATTGCGAATAAGTATGGAAAGAAGGGTAGTGGCAAATTGAACTCATCAAGAAAGAAGAAAAAGGATTCGGATGATGATGATGAGGAGTTAGATTCTAGGGATAGGAAGAAAAGGGGTAGGTCAAAGAAGAGGAGAAGGTATGTGTAGAAAATTCTAGCAGATTAGGTTGAGGTCCGGCGGACGGCCAAGGTGAGGTTGCCGCCCGCCGGTGAAGCGAAAAATACAAAGTTCTTAACCTTGCTCTGATACCATGTAAAAAAACTGATGTATTATTGATTGATTTATTACAAGATTGTTGTATCTGTCTATTACAAATGGTTCCTTATATAGATGTAGGTGTAGTGGAGTAGGTGGTGGTAGGTGAGGAGTAGGTGAGTGTAGGTGAGTGTAGTAGGTGAGTGTGTGGTAGGTGATGGTGAGTGTGTGGTAGGTGATGGTAAATGTTAACAGAGACAATTTGATAAAATTAATATCCTTTATTTTCTTGTTAGACTTAGAAATGAATATAATTAGTTATAAAATATTTGGCAAGAAAATAGGCTCCATGTGATACTTTTGTGGGCTGCAACTTGATACAAACAGAGATTCATGCATTCCAATCCAATATCAGTTGAGTTGGTTGGTTAAATAGACACCAGAGTTTGGCACTAGGATGGGAAAATGGAAGCTAGCATAGGGTCACTGAGTCAAATGGCTCAATCTCACATGTAATTTATAATTGACAGAGACCCTAAGTGTTTATATAGATGAATTCTTCTATTTTAACTATCTTTTTTTTTCTTTTTCGTTTTTCCGGTGGAGGGGATCGAAAGGAAACTAAACCTCTAAGGACCAACAAGAAGATTTCACAGCAAGATCATCCATAGCAATCCAGTTAAAAATAATGGATTATTGATTGTTGTATGTTATAAATTACAAATGATGAAGGGCTCCTTATATAGGAGATGTAGTGGAGTAGGTGGTAGTAGGTGGTAGTGGTAGGTGTGTAGTACCTTATATAGGAGATGTAGTGGAGTAGGTGGTAGTGGTAGGTGTGTAGTAGGTGGTAGTAGGTGGTGGTAGGTGATAGTAGGTTTTAACAGCCCCCCGCAAACTCAATGGGGATAGGAACTAACCAACTTGAGTTTGGAGAGAGTAACAAAACAAGAAAATAATCTGAAAAATAAAAAATGGATAGGAGACACTGTATGGTCGTGTCAGACCGTTGTAGAAGACTGTATGGTTATGGCAGACCGCCGCCGCCGCCGCCGCCGACGAGGAGCTCGGAGACACCATGAACTGGTGGTGGTGGTGGTGTATAAGATTGACAAGGTGTTGGAACCCAGTGAGTTGTTTAAGGCAACGGCGCCGGGGCCGGATGCTCCAGCGGACACAGCGGCGGACCAAACCGCCAGTGATAGTGGGCGTGGGAGTGAAGGTATGTGTAGAAAATTCTAGCGGACTAGGTTGAGGTCCGGCGGGCGGCTAAGGTGAGGTTGCCGCCCGCCGAGGAAGCGAAAATACTATGTTCTAAACCTGCTCTGATACCATGCAAGAATTTGATATATTATTGATTGATATTTTGATATTTTACAATGATTCCTATATATAGAAGAGAGGATGTGGGAAGAGAATAGGTGAGTGTGTAGTAGGTATGGAGTAGGTGAGGAGTAGGTGGAGAGTAGGTGAAGTAGGTGAGTGTGTAGTAGGTGGTAGTGGTAGGTGTGTAGTAGGTGAATTTTAACATAGCCCTATGTGCTGAAAAGATTTCTAATAGCTATGCATGTGATCAACTTATGTCAACTTAACAATAAACACGAATCCAAAATCTAGGAAACATATTGAGGTGGTAGCTTTTATTTTTTTCATCAGTTAATATTTTCATAAAGGAAAAGCAACATGGTTAACTCATTAATAATTAAATGAAATGAATTAATTGATAAAAGAGATTAACTTCGATAAGTATGAAATGCAAACAAATGTATTGCGGATGCGAACCTAATCACGTACCATGTCGTCAATGTTCATGCCAATCCTCACAAGAATCAAAAGAAGCACTCAAAATCAAAAGAAACTAGTGATTTTGAATTTTTGGATGAGGTGGAAATTTAAAAAACAAAACTTGTATTTTTCCAAGGTTTCTATGAAATTAGAAGAAACTTTCAATTCTTTTTTGGTTTTAAAAGTTGCTCTTGGTTCAGGTTTTTGGGAACCATGTCTTGACAAATTAACTTATTAATGTGTGATGTATTGCTTGATGAATGGAGTTCTTAAAAATCAATTTTATGGTTCACCCTTAAAAAAATGGACGCTTCATAAAATTATTGAGGTACAGCCCAACTATCAAGTACATCAACGGGTGTCACAACAATACTTAGATGAGTTTTGGCTGGTACAACCACTCTATTGTCCACTTCTAATAAACGTGATTGACCCAATTCTGGATCATCTTCTCAAAGCTAGTATTTCTCTAGATATGATTAGCCAAAATAATAAATTCTTACACTTCTAATAATAAATTCTTACATAGGAAGGAAGAAATGGGCAACACATATGCTTGCAACATATTTCCAACACACACACAAATATATCATGTCTGGTAATTCTAGTATGAGCCAAAAAGAAATTACAAAAACCTAATACCCAAATGTTGGCGAGATAGGCAATTGATGCCACATATTTGCGTGGTCCAGAATTTCATTGGCCAAAGCATGGCATATGCATGACTATCATTAAAATCTTCTGTCTTTCTTAAAATGGTTATGGTGCAAAAATAATAAACTTCTCAATGTGCGCTGCTTTAATTGGAGAGAACAGATAACTCCATAATAGGAAATATATGTAAATGAGTTGAAACAAAACATAGCCTGCTAGTTTATGTCTGAAATTTTATGGTGAGCATCTTTCTTTCCTTTTTTCTTTTCACCGTAAGAAGGCACTCCTATATATGTAGCAATGTTTTGTAAACAATCTCCCATATTACAATTCTTTTATGGTCTAAGTTAGAAACCTTGATCTGTATCAAACTTCAACACTCAATTCCAAGTGCCTACATAGATTTCCTTTGATCTGTTTATAGAATTCCATTAAGCAATGATACAACAGGGTTTTTAGTAATGCAACACACTTGTGCAAAAACAAATGAGAGTTACCTGTCTGTGATGTAGAACCAGTCCTGCAGAAATGTCTGAAAATTGAACAAACATTATCATTAGTAAAGAAAGTATACACCAGAGAGCACTTATGCCTAACTTGAATGCACACCAAGAGGATCTAAAGAGATATTTGCCTGCCATTTCCAAAAACATGCATTAACAAGAAATAAAGCTACTATGCACAAGTGCTACAAGTTCTGGGATAATAATCAATACCCACTAGTGCAAGGAATTTTTTTGACAGTAGTCGGACAGCTAAAATGCCTAATCATATGCCTAGTGTATTGGAATTGAAAAAAGTGAATCACACTAGGCATTTTAACTAACAAGTATTATATGCCTAGTGCATTGGAGATGCTCTTACATTGTGATCTTTAGGGTCCATACAGAATTCCTACACATTCTGGTGCACGTTTCTTTCTTACTATTATGGATGATTTTAGTAGATGTACATGGGTATTTTTAATGGCCCACAAATCTGAGACTCAACATCTTTTACAATCCTTTATCATTTTTTCTAAAACTCAATTCCAGGCCACAATTAAAACTATTCGAGTTGATAATGGATCTGAAATACTTTCCATGCGAAGTTTCTTTCAAAACACTGGTATTGAACTTCAGGGCACTTGCATCATCACCCCACAACAGAACGGGGTCGTTGAACGTAAACACCATCATATTCTCATAGTCGTGCGTACCCTGCATTTTTAGTCTAACGTCCCTATACCCTTCTAGGGTGATTGTGTCCTTACTACTGTCTATCTTATCAACCGTCTTCCTTCACCCTTACTTTCCAACAAATCCCCTTTCGCAATCCTCTACAAATGTCCACCTTCCCTTGCTCTTTTACGTGTTTTTTAGAGCCTTTGTTACGCCATCAATATTCATCCCCCCAATAAGTTTGCTCCCCGCGCCCACCGATGCATTTTTGTTGGCTATCCAGCAACTCATAAGGGTTATAAACTTTACAATTTGGACACCAACAAATTTTTGGTTAGTCGTGAAGTCAAATTTCATGAATCCATTTTTCCTTTCTCCCAACCTTCGCACCCTACCCCCTCTCTCCTCCTACACCTGTTGCCCCTCACTCTGGACCTGTCTCTCTCTTACGTACAAATTCTCTTCTCCTTTCATTACTTTTCTCATTCAATCTTCCCATATTAACCCTGCACCATCCCTCCATTCACCTTCACCCCCCACCAGTTTCCTTTCTCTCTGCAGTCCCTCCTTTCTACCCTAACACCGTTGTTCCTTCCTTCCGCCACTCTTCCCGTATCCCATATCCTCCGCCCTGGACTAAAGACTATCATTTGTTCTACCAGGTCACTCATTCTTCCTATTCTCTTCCTCTTACCAAAGGTACCACGTTATCCCTTGTCTCATTTCCTTTCCTATTCCTGTTTTTCTTCCATCCACCGTTCATTTTTAGCTACTAATACCCGCCCTTTGAACTTACCACATATTCCCAAGCTATCCTTGATCCCCATTGGCGCTAGGCTATGCGGCTCGAGTTAGATGCTTTACACACCAAACATACGCCTGGGATTTAGTTCCTCTCCTCGCTGGACATAAACCTATTGGTTCCAAATGGGTTTTTAAGCTTAAGTACAACTCTAATGGCTCTCTTGAACGTCACAAAGCCCGTATGGTTGCCAAAGGTTACACCTAGATTGAGGGAGTTGATTACTAGGAAACTTTCTCCTCCACTGCCAAACATAACACTCTACGTTGCCTCTTTACCGTTGTTGCTGCCTACGGTTGGTTTATTCATCAGTTGGACATTTAGAATGCATTTCTTCATGGTGCTCTCGCCGAAGAGGTCTTCATGGAACCTCCTCCTGGTCTTCACTGACAGGGGGAGCATCTTGTATGTCGGCTCAAGAAATCTTTATATGGGCTCAAACAGGCATCCAATACTTGGTTTTTCATTTTCTTTCAAACACTATTCAGCAGGCTGGCTACCATCAATCAAAGGCTGATTATTCTTTGTTCACCAAGGTCCAAGGTAGGCAAAGGTAACGACTCAAATTTTTCCTTCTCAAATGCTTCCGCATCAAAGACCTTGGAGATTTAAAATACTTTCTTGGCATTGAGTTCGCCCAATCAAAACAGGGAATCTTTATGTCCCAACGCAAGTATGCACTCGACATCTTACAGGATTCAAGACTTCTTGGAGCACGGCTAGAATCTTTTTCCAATGGAACAAAACTTGACTCTAACTCCGACCGATGAAGCATTGTTGAAAGATCCAACAAAATACAGGTGGTTAGTTTGTAGACTGATTTATCTCACCGTTACTAGACTAGACATTGTTTATCCCGTCCGAACTCTGAGTCAATTTATGCATGAACCACGAGTACCACACTGGGATGCAGCTATGCGAATTCTTTGGTACATTAAAGGCACCCCTGGTCAAGGTATGTTATTTTTGGGCAACAACAATCTTGATTTGAGAGTTTTTTGTGACTCAAATTGGGATCGATATCGTACTACAAGAAGATCAGTTACAGGATATTACATTTTTCTAGGAAATTCACTCATCTCATGGAAATCTAAGAAGCAAGCTAATGTGTCTAGATTGTCTTCTGAAGCAGAGTACCATGCCGTGGCAAACACTTGCTTGGAACTAACTTAGATATGCTATATATTACAAGACCTACGAGTTCCTTAAAAAGTTCCTGCTTCATTATTCTGTGATAACCAAGCAGCCTTGTATATTGCAGCAAATCCTGTTTATCACGAATGAACCAAGCATATTGAAATAGGCTGCCATATCGTTCGTGAAAAATTGTAAGCTGGTATGATCCAACCTTCTTATGTGCCTACACTTCTCCAACTAGTAGATATATTCACGAAGGCTCTAGGAAAAGGATCAATTCATAAAGCTGCGAAACAAGTTAGATATTCATAATCTTCACCTCCCAACTTGATGGGAAGTATTAAGGATATCTCTGTAACTAATGTAAAGATTGTGCATATCTGAACTAGGTGATTGTGTATATCTAAACTAGGAAGGTCTTCTCTATCACAGGAATTTAGGCTTAGAAGTAGACGTGATTTCCTCATTGTATTTGGTATATAAAGATGTACTGTGTCATTAATAATACATACAAATTCTCTTCTCCTTTCATAACTTTTCTCATTCAATCTTCTTAAGAAGAAATGATGAGAGATGGCAAGAAAAAGATTCTCACAAAACCTAAGTTTTGAGGAAATTCTATTTCCATATACCTAATTAGCTTAGAGCACATCTTTTCTCAATACACACATTGACTAATTTGATTATCAATTAATTTTCTCAATCCACACACATTACAATTACACCCCTCACTCATAACCATTGTACACATATCACTAACCCTCTTTTTACACACTTTTGATTGATCATACTTCCACATTGACTCAGCTACGCCCATGAAGACTTTGGTTTGAAGTGAAATTTCCTCCATTGAAGACTTGCATAGAAGACCTCCATTGAATCTCCATTGAAAATCATTGTAAATCCTTCTTATTACATTTATCATTTTATTATTGCATCTATCATTTTCGGATCTATGTGCACTTTATTGGCATAAAACCTTCGATTCCGGTCGTGTGAGTGATGGTTTGGGGCTTTTCGGCACTGGTTTTTCTAAAACAATAGAGTGAATTCGGAACATAACTTTTGAATAAATTGTATTTTTTAGTTTCCAAAGTTGATGAATTTTTTCGATTCTATAGTTCCAAAGTGATTCCATGTTTTCGACAGAATGAAACAAAAAAAAATATAGCAGAAATTTCATCACAGTGGCTAGAGTTTGTCAGGTGTTCACTATCTTACCGCGAAGGTTCTAGATGTTTATGGCTCCAAGATCCAACCCTGATGCTCACAGACACTCTTGTATGGAGGAAAAGAATCGTCACTATTACATTGCCCTAAAAAACAGTGAAGTAATAGAGAGCCTAAAAGGATGAAAATATGTATTGAGAATTTTTACTTAGATGTCTATTATGGTCATTTTAATTTATGATATAATTGTCATTAAACTAAAAATTTATTAAGTTTGTCCCATAAGTTAATTAGGTATGTGGAAATATAATTTCCTTAAGTTTTGTTTCTTACCAAAAGTGGTGAGATTTGGTGCAAAGAAAACTGGGTTTAATGAAAGTTTTTTAAAGTACCAAAATTACCTTTATAAAAAAATATAACTTATTACTATGAAAGATTATTTTGATAAAATGAAATACAATACTTTTCTTTCTTTTCTCTTATTTAGCCTGTGTTTGGCAAATGGGTTTGTAGGCTTTTTTGGCTATTTTAGTCACAAAAAACAAAATAGGCTATTTTAGCCATAACAAACAAAACATCACATCCAACCCATAATCATTACATTCTTCTCTCACAAAAAAACTCAAAAAAGCTAAAAAGCCAAAAAGCCCTTCCCAAACCAAGTTTTTAAGCCCAGGCTAAAATAGCCAAAAAAGTCAAAAAGCCAAAAAGCCAACCCAATTCCCAAACGGAGGCTTATTATATCTAAACAATATTATGTGAGAAATCACATTATCTTATCTTTTATTCAAAAAATTATTAGTTGGTCTAGGGCACTACATGACTATACTACTCACCAATCACAATTCATCATGTCCCATAATATTTTCCCAATCATCTAATATAAATTCGCGAGTCTCACCACTCCACCAATCACAATATCGTTTGGACACCACAGTATCCCTAAATACCAACCAATAATTTCCCTTTTAATTTATCTAAACATAATAATAAGAAATTATAACTATTTTTTTTTTTTTCTCACGTATTTGGTAGCTTACTCCGCGATCCAAATGGAGTGTAAAGGAGAACCTGTATTAATGGCAAACTTGAAGGGTGGCAATGAAATTTACCCAATAATTTTCATGTGGAGTTGACCATCCCACCCAATTATTAGTATTATTATTATTAGTTTGGTGTTAGATGAAAACTTGTTTTGCTTTTAAAATTTTATTAGATATTTAAATATTAATAACTGACAATAGATTGGATGTGTAATGGGTCAGTGATGAATATTTTTAACTATTTGCATAGATATTGGCATATATTTCTATCATTGTGTGTCAATATTTAAATAAGTTATTCTTATGTGTGATGTGAAACAAGTTTGTTTGTTTGTATTTTTTTTTTAATTTTAATTTTTATTTTTAATAGGTTATGCAATTTGCTTATAATATGAAATATGAATTTTTACTAATCATATTAAGCGTGTCGTGTTAGTGTTAATACAATCATAAGTAGGTTAGGTCAGTGTTAAGATAATTGACACGTTTAATTAAGTGATTTTACTTGTCATCCAAATTATGAATAGGAATTGTGTCATGTTGTGCCGTTTTCATATCGTGTTAGTGTTGGATTATTTTGAATACAAACTCGATATGATACAATACGAAAATGACACAACACGACATGATTTTCACCCATAGTTTGGATGGTAAGTAAAATGTTATCAATATTTTTTAATATTCAATATAATATAAAATAAAATAAAAATAGTAATCAATGAAAAATAAATTTATTTGAGTGAATGTTTTTTATACTAAAATCTTACCAACTCAATATCACAACTACCAGCATACCACCACACCGCCACCGCCTCGACCTTCACCACCCCGCTAACACCTATAATATGTATAAAACATGGTCATTTGATTTTTTATTTTTTATTTTTTTCATTTGAAACAAACGAAATATTAAGAATAGATTTTGGAGAAATAGAAAAACAAATATGAATTAAAAATAGGGTGATGCACCAATAAATCCCAAATTAACAACTCATACACTGTTTAGTCCTAAAAATTTTCTTATAGACTGAAAGGTCCCATTATAGGAAAATTGACCATAGAGGGCATATACATCAATCATCATCATCATCAAAACAACATCATCATTATCAAAACAACATCAAACATCACAACATCATTATCAAAACAACATCAAATTACAATAATGTGAAAAATTACAATGTTTGAAATTAGATTTCAAACATCGTGAAAAATTACAATAATGTTTCAAACATCTAATGTTCATCAGATTTCAATAATGTTTGAAATTATAGAATGAAACATCAGATTCATTTACCATCATGAACATCAGATTTCAATAATCTAATGTTTACCATCATGAACATCAACGTCAGAACACCATGAACAAAACATCATCAAATCTGGGTTTGGATCCCACCGACAATCGCAGAGAGAGAACCAGAGCAACATCTTGATGATGTCCTGAATCTCTCTCTCTCTCTCTCTTTCTCTCTCTCTCTCTCTCAACTCCAACGTGTTTTGTAAACCCTAACAATGGCAGACCAATCGGCCGCCGTCGATCTCTTTCATCAGATTCATCGCGCAACAGCTGATCCGATCTGATTCGGTTCTGTTTCGCGCCGGAGATTTCGGAAGATTTCCGAAACTATTTTGTCCGCTGCTTGATTCTGCTAAAGCTTCGATTTCTCGAGAATTCACCAAGGTTCGACTCGAATTCAATCGTTTTAGCATCGTTATTTCTTAATTTAATTAATTTTTTTTTTTTTTTTTCAGTAGATCTTTGAAGTTTGAAGTTTGTGAAATTTTTGAGTCTGTTGAAAAGCTGTGATAATGGAAGATGGAAAAGTGAACAAGGTGAGTGGTGGAATGCCAGACACAGTGTTTGAGTGTGTGATCAGTTACATTGACGACGCACGTGACCGCGACGCAGTGTCTCTGGTGTGTCGGCGATGGTACGAGATCGACAAGACGACGCGAAAGCACGTTACGATCGCTCTATGTTATACCACGACGCCGCAGATGCTGTGGCGGAGGTTTCAGCACCTGGAGTCGCTGAAATTGAAGGGGAAGCCGAGAGAGGCGATGTTTAATCTGATTCCGGAGGATTGGGGAGGGTATGTGACTCCCTGGGTGGAAGAGATTTCGAGGTCGTTTAGTTGCTTGAAGGCTCTTCACTTTCGCCGGATGATTGTGATGGACTCGGATCTTGAGCTCCTTGCTCATTCTCGTGGTCGAGCTTTACAATCGCTCAAGCTTGACAGATGCTCTGGATTTTCCACTGATGGTGAAGAAATTGTCGCTCTCTTGTCTCGGTGAAAATTAGTGAGTGTGAATTACTGGATCTTATTGGTTTCTTTAGTGCTGCAGCTGCATTAGAAGAGTTTTGTGGGGGTTCTTTTGGCTCTTTCTCTCTCCTCCTTTGTTGTGTGAGACTGATGATGGGTAGCACAGCAGAGATGCTCCACTACGATGGTGGTGTCTATTTTTTAAAAAACATAATCATCTCATCCCACTCAAACCCATCAGGAAAGCGGCCCAGCTGTTGCACACTTCCACAAACAAATATAATATATTATATAAATATTATGTTAAATATTATATAATATAATATATTATATTTTGATAGCCAAAACCGGCCCACGGTATTAAAAAACCCCCATACACTCCAAACCCGCGGGAAAATCAAACTTGAATCTTCCTTTACAATGCACTACACCCTCTCTCTCCACTTTATCACATGGGCTTGTCCCCTCTCTCTCCTCCGTTTGATTTCAAAATTAATTATTTTTATTTATTTTCTCTAAATCATTTTTAATCTTTTTCAAATACCCAACTTTCTTTATTTTCTATCTATATATCTATCTCTTTTTATTATACTATATTACCCAAACACAACACTCTCTCGTTTTGATTTCCCATATATTCTTATTATTTCTTTCTTTTTTATTTTTTTTTTTTTTTTCCCTTTATTAAAAAAAAAAAAAAAAAAAAGACGAACTGCACACCAAACTCATTTTCTTCATATCAGGGGATCAACCCCGATCATAATTTTACACCCACAAAAAAAAAAAAAAAAAAAAAAAAAAAAAAAAAAAAAAAACAAAACCAAACATCTTCAATATCAAAATAAATAAATAAATAAATAAATAGAGAGGAAAATAGAGAGGCCTACTAGAGATTTCTTCTAGCACAAGGAAAGGATCAAAGTATTTGAGTTCAAACCTGCAAAAAGAAACATAAGAAGAAGAAGAATAAGAAAAAAAAAGAAAAAAAAGAAGAAAAAAAAACCACTTAGGCATTTTGTCAAACAGCTGAGATCTTCAATAAAAAAAAATATGAACATATTGTTGAGGTGATTTTAGTGCATCACGCGCACGCACACACACACACACATATATATACATAAAACATATACATGTTGTATATGCATATATAAAGGTCAATTAATAGCAATTGTTAGCGTAAGGACATGAAATATGTAAAAACTGTTGAATTGTTGAGGGATTTCATGTATATTCAGCAACAAATCAATGAAATCTGTCTTTAATTTCAGGAAGCAAAAGAGAGAAAGAGAACAAGAGAGAACGAGAGAGAATGAGAGAGAGAAACTCATCACGCTGGGAAACCACCGTGGTAAGCGCCACCGATGCTAAAGTGAGAGGATGAGAGAAATAGAGTGAGACTTTGATATGCTTAGGCTCACTGTGAGAATGAGAACCCCAGTTCTAAACACAACGTATGGGGGAAATGAACGAGTACCCATCCCCGATCCATACCCTATGAATATTTAAAAAACACCACTTACCCAACCCGACGGGTAAGAGAAAAAAAGGGGAAATCCATATATTTGGGTCGGGTCTCCATGGTGTAGACACTCTATTTTTGACGGCCCTTACGACTTGGACGTCATCGCATGTACACCCAATGATGAGTCTATATGCTTGTCAAGTGCCCGAAGTCCTCAGTGGAATGCCACAGCTTTGAGCCTTTCAAAACCTACACACTTTTTGCCACATTTTTGGACCAAATCCAGTGATTTTCAAGCCTGCAACC